CTTCCCCTGCCACACCCACAAGCAGCACCACGCCCACCAAGCCATGCCCACAGAACTGGTAGTAAAAAATTTTGAATTCCACCACTGCCAAATATAGAGGCATACCTACATTCTGCCTAAGCATGTAACCCTTTCAAAGAAAATCCAAAGATGATGACATTAGTGGAACATGGATGAAACATTTAAAGACAATACACCTTCGCTGGGAACATTGTAAATTGTATGTATTTACACACCATAATGGCTCAATTTCCACAATACACCAAAGGCAAATAAATCATATTATCATTCAGCATGACATGTTTAATTTAATGACAACTGTAGATCCCCAAACTGAGAAACAAACTTGAACATCCCAGGATATGTGAACTAACCCTGATTAGTTCACAGCTATTTGGGACCTCTGAAAAGGCTTCATAGAAAAAGACAATGGAAGAAATGGAAGATGACTTCATATAAGAAAATTGCAGGGTGATAATTTCCCATGGAACAAATTGCACTGCATGTGCACCTAGTCAAAAGCACTGACATGTAATCCAAATTTCTCCTTCCAAACATTGGTTCTGAAGATTGTAGCTGAGTAAAATTCACAAAGAAAAGAAACTCAGTGGGAAGCGTGGGAGGGAAAGGGAGAGAAAGAAAAGAGGGAAAAGGAAAATGTAGGTGGGGAAGAGGGGGTCTACAACCTGAGCATTTTAATGGGTATGTTATGAGAGGGAGGCTGTTATGTAAGGCTTGCAGCATCTTGGTTTATGTAACAACAGAGGAAGACACAGCTTTGCAGATTTAGGGGGATAAATGGTGAGAGCAGCACCTAAGAAATTCTCTACAACTTCACAGGCAGTTTATGATTACAGAAAGGCATATACCGAGTTGAGCGATAAGGAGGATTGCCCTAGGCATCATCTCAGGATTATATCCAGAATGTGAACAAAGAAACTTCTCTGCAGCATAAACAGCTTATATTGCTATACATAACTCCAGGCAGCTCATGTACAGCAGAACATTAAAATGCAGGACTTCCAGGTAAAAGAATGTAATACATTCAGTAGTGACTTGAGCCAAGGGTGTCTTTTTTTGCTTTAGAATAAGATTAGCAACTTGGATGCATAAACACAAGGCAGTCATAAACTCTTACCACCTACAGTACATCCCCAAATTAACTAATGTCCCCAAAACATTAGTTAAAAACACACACACAAACACACAACTAATGACTTAAACTTCACAAGCACCTATGAGAGGATGACTAGAGTCTCATAAAATGAGTGATCTCATGAGTAATTTTGGAAGGAGACTCCAAGCCATTGTGCAACGGTGAGATCACAGAAGAGCGATTAGAACTGGAAATAGTCGCTGGCCGCAGAGATCAACATAGATGTCCACAGAGGGATCAAGAGAGAAATGGCAAAAGCAGTATTGCACCAAACTCCACTCCTTTTGTAATGTGCTGTGATGTGGCGGCAGGGGTGAAATGCTCTTGGTTCGGACCGGATCGTCCGATTCGGTAGCGATGACGGCGGGTGGTTCGGAGAACCGGTAGCAAAAATCCCTGCCCCCCCCCATGTCCAGCTGAGCCATGCAATCATCAGAGGCTGGTTTTTTTTACTTTTAAAAGCATTTTTTCCTGCAACCTCTTCGGCTGAAAAACTGCTTTTAAAAATAAAAAAAAGCCTCTGATGATCGCGCGGCTCAGCTGGGATCGTCAGAGACTTTTAAAAGGATTTTTTTTCTGCAACCTCTTCAGCTGAAGAGGTTGTAGGAAAAAAAATACCTTTAAAAGCCTCTGGCAATCCCAGCTGAGTTGCCTGATCGTCAGAGGCTTCTAAAAGCATTTTTTTCTGCAACCTCTTAAGGTTGTAGAAAAAAATGCTTTTAAAAGTAAAAAAAAAAAAGTTGGCCATGCCTACCCAGTCACATTACCTCCCCCCACCACCAAGCCATGCCCACAGATCCGGTAGTAACAAATTTTACATTTCACCACTGTGTGGTGGGCAAATATAAAAGGCACCAAAGCTGACATTGTGATAATGAGACATTGTTTTGATGAAAACGCTGTATCCCAAAGAACTTTGGGTAGCAGGTCCTGGCCAAATTTGGTTTGTGTTGGAAAAAAGCTAACTGGAGTTGGATCCTCTTAGAACTTGGTAGAAAACTGCCAGAAAATCCTGAAGTTAAGAGCTAGGCAGGGAAGTAAAAAAAAAACCAAAACAAAATACACACACCCAGAAGAAGGCAATGGAAACAGCATTTCCATTTTGCTACCAGTAAAACTTTGTGAACAAGTTCAGGAGCCATAAGGACTTGATTTATGAAATTATCTACCATTTTATATATCTCACAGGATGGTACCTCTCCCATTGAAAATTAAAGACTGATATGACTTTATACTACAAACCAGCACATAGACATTTTTATCCTTGGGTCACAGAACCTCTGAACCTCTTTTTAGCTGGGAATCTCATTCACTGCTTCCTGAATTCTCAATCCTGCCCAATCCTTCCCAACCGGAGGCACTGGGATCAGGCTGGGCAATGGGGAAGTTGCAGAGAAGCTGCACTTCATCCTTCTTACTTCACTTAGCATGACTAACATTACTGCTTATATATTGGCAAAGTGGGGGTGGAAGATTGACACCCTGTTGCCCCCAGAGAGTTCTGTCATTTTTCAAAGTGATGTCTAACAATCAATGAATTAGCATATTGTACAACTTGATATATTTAAAACATATACTTTGTGCTTTGGAGCTGTAGTGATCCAAACCGGTTAAAGTAAATCAACTGCGGAAACTAAAAATCAGTTAATTCACGAAGTATTATTGTAAAATACTCCCCAGGCCCAGAGGCATAGAATTACAATGTATGCTTTCTATCCAGATTCCTATTTTTGCTGGAGGTTAAGAGTGAAAAAGTTTAAAATCTATGTATTTATTTATTTAATCATATTTGTATAGCAGCCCATCTCACAGGAAATGACTCATAGAGTTGGACGTTGTGATTGAGATCATCAAGTCCAACCATTTGCAAAACCATATTCTGCAAAGCGTTCTTATCATTCGTACTTAATTTCTGACCTTTAATCAGACTCTGCTTTCTTGTAAATGTAAATCCATTATTCAGTATCCTGCACTGTGGAACAATAAAGAACAGGTCTTGGCCTTCTGTGTGACATCCTTTCAAGAGTGCTATCACGTTCCTTCTTGGTCTTGTCTTCCCTTGGCTAAATGTACTTAGCACCTTCGATCTCTCTTCATAGAACTCAATCTCTAGTCTATTGAGCACTTCTGAAAGGATGGTGCCCATAACTTCACACAGTTTTCAAAGGGGGTTCTGGGCAAAATAGGCTTAGTAGAATAATTTCTCCTGAAGATTTGGAAATGCATTTGTTACAGCCACATCACACTGCTAGCCCATATTCAGTTTGTAATCTCAAAGGTGCTTTTTTCAAGAAACAACTGGACTTTCTGGTTTTTTCTTTGAAGACATTTCACTTCTCACCCAAGAAGCTTTTTTCTTTTTAAGCACCTTTGGGACAACCATGACTGAAGTGGTTCTTCAGAGCTGAAGAAGCTTCTTGGAAGAGAAGCAAAATGTCTTCAAAGAAAAACCAGAAAATCCAGTTGCCTCTTGAAAAAAACACCTTTGGGACTATCATGACCTGGATGATTGAGAATCTCCATAGACATTAGGCAATCAAGTAATGTTTCAATATTTTTTTGAAAGTGTTATTACCAAGCCCCTAATCCAGTGGTTCTCAACCTGTGGTCTGCAGACTGCTGGGGGGGAGGGGGCATGGTGTCATCATAGGAGGTCCACAAAGGCCTGAAGAAATATGATGGTTTAAATCTTGAGTTAAGTCTTGGGGGATCCATGGCCACAAAAATTATTTAAAGGGGGTCTATGGTGAAGAAAAGATTGAGAACCACTGCCCTAATCTATTCCTTTCAGTTTTGTGAGATAATTCAGGCAAGAAACACATCCAGAAGTACTAGCTCTAACTTTATTGTAAGCATATATGAACAGAATAATGCATATCTGAAAGTACTTTTCTCCCTCTTCATTTTTACAGTCCAAAAAACCAGGGAAGATCCCTAGTTTTAATTTTGATTAGTTTGTTGGGGTTTAGCACATTCCATTTAATTGAAGAAAATGGGTTATTCAATTATCAATTTAAACATCTGCTTTTAACAACATTTAAATACCTGCTGTGGCCTGTCAGCCGCTGGCTCCTTCAGCAGGCAAATCAGAGGAGGAGGAAGTGTGGGAGTCAGGATCAGCATCAAGGCAACCTGAGAGCTCCAAGGGGGAAGAGGGAATGGAACTGGCAGAGAGAGAGAGAGACAGAGGCGGAGCCTGGGCTGTCCGTCAGTCCTCAGATGGAGAGTCAACAGCCCCCAGGTCTGGAGGTGGCTGATGAGGAAGAGGAGGAACAGCTGGGTCCATTGCCTGACATGTGGATGCACAGAAGGCAGAGGAAAGGAGAGCAGTGGAAATCCATGGGCTGATCCTTGGGAAGGAAGAGCCACTGCTGCTAGCGAAGCCCCACTCTAGCTCTGGGGATAAAAGGCAGGAAGCAGAGATGAATAGATGTGGCAGACAACTATTCATCTTCCGGACGGATGGACTTGTTAGGCTGCAAGCTAACAATATGCACACTGTGTCTCCTATCCTTAGATCTACTACATGTAGACTGAAATCATCTGGATGATCACTAGATGGCAGCAAAGAATCTGAATTTTCTATATTCCTTCATCACATCTAGTGATTGCTGGGGTTCTTCAAGACCAGATCTTGTAGATATTCATGACTGTTTGTTTGTTCTTTATTTATCATATTCATCATAGTCTTCCATCTCTCAAGAGAGTGACTTGCCTATATACTGATGGAGCACAGTTGCCAAAACAGAATACAGAACAGCTTTTTTGCAGGTCTGAAGTAGTGGGAGAATACAAAGATGCCACAATTCATAACCTTTCTCCAATTCAGAAATTCCTTTCTTACCTCATCAAATGAAGCTTCATTCTCACAGTTCTCAAGCACTCGAGTGTAGAATGAGAGACCTGCAAAACCCAAAGAGAAAATTATTTTTAATATTAATAAAATGCCTCAGAAATACAAAGCTGATCATTAAGAGTAAAAGAAGGGCATCTAAAAGGACTGTGTCATATTTTATATCCATGTGGATAAGGTAGAATTAATTTATCAGGTGGGTATGTTTTTCATGCAATTAATTATCTGCATAGAAGCCAATGCAACTATAGGAATTGTCAAGTCGTACAATTGTTCTGTTCTGTCCCCGTCCCACACACGCACCCCCACAGACAGCCCGGAGTTAATAAGCGACACGACAAAGTCTTTGAAGATAAAGCTGGCAGCAACCCAGTGGCTAGCTGCGAATTCAGACTTTACTCACACAAAACAAAGATTAGACTGCAAGCATTCTGATAAAGCAGGCAAAGTTTCAGCAATACAAGGATTAGTCCAAATGCAGTCCGACAAGGCAGGCAGAAGTCCAGTAACGCAGAGATCATGGATTATTTCTAGTTTTTGCTTGTCACAAACTGAACCAGCCACCACACCCACATTTATACCCTATGGGGTGTGGTCCAGTGACTCAGCTAATTTCTGGCACGCCTTCCCCTCTGCTGCGCATGCTTCTCCCTGCGCCGCTGTCGAGGATCCAGCCAGCACTTATCTCCTTCGTCACTGTCCACCTGTGGCTGCGGGGACGTGCTTGGCTCGGGGCCTATCTCTTGGCCTTCGGTGTCCTCCGGAGACATTGCCAGACAGGAGGGTCCTGGAGAGGGAGGCCTTGCCAACTCCTCTCCCTCACTCTCAGAGTCTGCATCTGTCGATAGCCCAGGCTCAGGCAACGGAGCCACAACATGTTCTGAGTCAGGGGAAAAGCTGGAATTCTCCATTATCTGCAGCTTCTATTATTCGGATGACAAACAGGAGATCTCACACCAGCCATAAAGCCTAATAGTCACTGGTTGCATTTACATAATATATTTTATATGGTTACCAAATAACATTATCCTGTTTATGGATTTGCATGATATATTTACTGTAAGAATGAAACAAACACATGGACTATTTTTGTCTGACTTACTAGGATACATAAAGGAAAGTAAGATTATCCCTAACCAAGCGTAGCATGTTGTACGCATGCAGCAGCTAGATTTTCAGCTGATCTCATTAAACATTAAGATTGTCTTATTCTTCTTCAATGTGCCTAACCTCATTGTAACACCCTGAATTTTATGATGAAATGATTTATTTTGTCACTTTAAACCCAGTCAGTCTTATTACTTAATTCCAGAGCAGAGTTGTAAGCCTAAAAATATACACAAACTCTCTTCAAATATAGATGATTTTATAATCCTCGATCATATTAATTTTTCACTTACTAAATTTATATTCTACCTTTCCTCCAAGAGCTCAAGGTGATTTCCATGGGGATCCCTCTTCAATTTACCTATGCAACAATAAACCCGTGAAGTAGGTTGGGCTGAGAGAGACTGCCTGGCCTAAAGTTCCCCAGGATATTTCCATAATTAAGGGGGACTTCAGCCTGGATCTTCTGAGTCTTTGACTAATAGTTTAGTCACTACACTATACTAGTTATTCCTGCCACTTTATTTTACTATAAAATAAATACACAAATTTTATTATTATTTATTATTATTTAGATCTTCCAGGACAATATTGGTCAGAAAAACATCAGCTGAAGAATTCTTATAACAGGGCAAACAACGTTGAGCCATATGGACAGTTCCCTATCTGAATGTCCTCTTGATGTGTTTGATATAGTGCCCATAACTCTCAGTAACCTAGGACATAGTTTAGTCTTTGCTGCTTCTGGAGGGCTGCTAAGGAAGGCTAAAGAAATTTTCTGGAGGACCCATACACAAAATGGGACCATAGAATCATAGCACTGGAAGCAAATTAGAAGTATTAGAAGTCTTCTAGTACAACCTCCTGCTTAAGGCAGGAGTCCTTATGTCATTCCAACACTGCAAGCTTTTAAGAAGAGATTGGACAACCATTTGTCTAAATGGTATAGGGTTTCCTGCCTGAGCAGGGGGTTGGACTAGCAGACCTCCAAGTTCCCTTCCAACTCTGATATTCTATTCTATTCTATTCTATTCTATTCTATTCTATTCTATTCTATTCTATTCTATTCTATTCTATTCTCTATTCTATTCTATATATCCCTATCCATCCCACCACCCCACCCCACCCCACCCCACCCCACCCCACCACCCACCCCATCCCCCATCCCATCCCATCCCATCCCATCCCATCCTATCCTATCCTATCCTATCCTATCCTATCCTATCCTATCCCAGACAAATGGCATCTAATATTTTCTTGAAAACTTCCAGTGATGGAGCACCCACAACTCCATGAGGCAAGCTGTTCCACTGATTAAACATTCTAACTATCAGGAAATTCCTCCTTATTCCAAGGTTGAATTTCCCCCTGACCCATTGCTTCTTGTCCTGCCCTCAGGTGCTTTAGAGAATAAATTGACCCCCCTCTTCTTCATAATCAGCCCAAGTATTGAAAGATTGCTGTCAGGTCTCTCCTAAGTCTTCTTTGTTTGCCTCCCCCCCGACCCCCCCAATTCCTCATACTGAAGTATTATTATTCAAGCTCGCTGAGACTCCTCAATTTATTAACAGTAATACAAAGAGTGATCCTCCTTCAGTCCATTAACTATATCAGACAATATAGTCTGCATTTGGGGGAATGGCTATATAAGTTTTATATCATATATCTATTTTTCTCCTTCCTGATCAAATCATAACCTAGTTTGGTACACAATTCACATTTCTTTAAAATGCAGTGACATGTGACTATAAAGTCTTGAAAGAGCAACTTTGATGTCCTTGTTTCTCAAGCTGTAGATTAATGGATTCATCATGGGTGGAACAATGGAATAAAAGGTAACGGTAAAGGTTCCCCTCGCACATATGTGCTAATAGTTTCCAACTCTAGGGGGCGGTGCTCATCTCTGTTTCAAAGCAGAAGAGCCAGCGCTGTCCAATGACGTCTCCGTGGTCATGTAGCTGGCATGACTAAATGCCAAAAGCGCACGGAACATTGTTACCTTCCCACCAAAGGTGGTCCCTATTTTACTATTTGGATTTTTTACATGCTTTTAAACTGCTAGGTTGGCAGAAGCTGGGACAAGTAACGGAGGTCATCCTGTTACGCGGCACTAGGGATTCGAACCGCTGAACTGCTGACCTTTCGATCGACAATTATTGTAATTATGAAATTACATTATTGTAATTATCAACATTATTGTAATTATGAAATCAAGATGGCATTTGGATTTTTCTGTAAGATTTGTGTATACTGATTTTCCCATTGCTTGGAATTCTTTTGTATTCATTTCACCTCCACCCTATTTGATTAACTCATTTTCTGGGCGAAAAGAAAACATTAAACAAAGGAGCCTAAATATACAATGGTGAGAGCCTATAAAAACTTGACCCATCAAACACCTTATAAAGGGAGTAAAACTATCAAAGAAATTGTTAATCCTGGAATGACACATATAAGGGAAGATGATAACATGGAATTTACTTTTCATCTACCCTTTTCTTTGATCTCTACATTTTCAGTTTAGCAATAGAGGAAAATGTTATTAAAATGCTAAAATATATAGCCCCAATTCCCAATTAACTTCCGTGGAAGGCTAGTAGGCCTATTATTAAATCTGCCTCCTTCTAGAAATAAAATATGCTTATTTTCAATTTTATTGTGTTGTGTAACATAGTGTGGCAGAATTTGTTGTTGTTAATTACTTTTTCTCTCAGTTTAAAATTCAAATATAGCTAGGGAGATTATAAAATAGGAAACCCTGATAATTGCACCATAGGATTGCAATCGCAGTTTCGCTTATATAAGATTTGGTTAATTAAAAAAGGAAAATTATTACTTCACTAGGTTCAGGCAATCATCTCCTCATTTACACATATAGATCCACTCTCTGGGAGCACTCGTGCTGGTTGAAGCAAAGAAACCTAATCTCCCAATTAGGTTTTCAATCACTTCTCTATGAAGCAAGCTGGTATTGTTGTAGGTGTTGTCAGTAATAGTAATATTGAAGAAGTCTCAATCATTTCAAACAGTATGGGTAGCCCTCAACTTACGACCTCTTGTTTCCAAGTTATAAGAGCACTGGAAAAGAAATGACTTATAACAGATCCTCACACTTTTGACTCTTGTCGCATCCCCATGGTCACATGATCAAAATTTGGGTGCTTGGCAACCAGCATGTATTGACGATGGTTGTCGCATCCTGGTGTCACATGATCAATCAGTAGCTGGCTTACGACAAACAAAGTCAGTGGAGGAAGACGGATTTGTTTAATGGCTGCATGATCTACTTAAGAACCGGGGTGAAATCCAGCAGGTTCTGGCAGGTTCTGGAGAACTGGTAGCAGAAATTTTGAGTAGTTCGGAGAACTGGCAGCGGAAATTTTGAGTTGTTCAGAGAACCGGCAAATACCACCACTGGCTGGTCCCAGAGTGGGGTAGGAATGGAGATTTTGCAATATCCACACCCACCAAGCCACGCCCACCAAGCCACACCATGCCCACTAAGCCACACCCACAGAACTGGTAGTAAAATAAATTGAATTTCACCAATGTTAATAACCACAGTGATTCACAACAACCATGGCCAAAAGGTTGAGATTTACATACTTAGTAATTTTGGGGGGGAGAAAGGGAGGTCATGAGGGCCTCTTTAGAAACTGGATTGATGAAACAGCCAAGGCATGGTTATCGTATCAGTAGATCAGTGAGAAGGAACCAGATGTTTTCCATTTCTCCCCCTATTCTTAAAGTATCCCACTTTTAAATTCCCATGGGGATGTTTTAATAATGCTTTTTTTATTATTCCATTCATCCTGCTTGAAGATCATTTCAACATGTGTCTTCTGAATGTGCAGCTGACTGTTTCTGATCCCTACCTCCAGGGAGAAAGCCAGCATGGTTTCATCAGAAGGACAAAGGTGCCAAGTTCTCCAATGACATGAGA